CCAATAAAAACTTCTGTCTACTGGATAACCGAACCCGTGTCTGTCGTTTTCTGACACTACCAATGTTCTTAACACAGATACTTCATTAAGGAGAGCAAGACTGGAACAGTAGCACAATGTTTTGGAAGGAGAAGAAGAAAAATATGCATCTGAGGCAGAATAAAATAATGGAAGGTAGATGAGCCGTATGAGAGCCAGTTTGGTGTAGTGGTGAAGGCACCAGGCTGGAATCCTGGAGACTGGGAGTTCTAGTCCCACCTTAGGCATGAAAGCCAGTTGGTGACCTTGGGCCAGTCACTCTCTCTCAGCCCCAGGAAGAAGCAGGCGATGGCAAACCACTTTGGAAATCTTGCCAAGAAAACTGCAGGGACTTGTCCAGGCAGTTACCAGGAGTCAACACTGACTTGAAGGCACCAATATATATATCCTCTATCTTTCTATCACCCTCCTTTTTTGGCTTTTTCTCTTAGAGGGGTTTGGAGTTATATTGTTTTGCTTTGCACTCTGAGAAACACAGCTTAATTTTACTTAACTGGAAGTAAAATAGTTAACAGGGAGGTTCAGCCTACCTATCACATATAACTATAGAAAACGAAGCTGACATTTCTCTATGTGTTTCTCAAGCTACTGAAATTAATGAGATCAGCTTTTCTAATAAATAGTGAAATTCAATGCAATACAGGAACATTCTTCTCTCATGATAAATTAATGGCACTTGCAGTTCAATTTGCACCCATCTTTATTTGTAAATTAGCTTAGTTATCATCTTTATGAGTCAGTAAGCTTACATTCAGTTGCAGACACATTTTTTTAAATATTAAAAATAAATTTGGATTACTGGAATTATGGATTGGGATAAGTAATTGTATGTTTCCCACAGTGCCAACCAAATCAATGTAGAAAAAGTTATATCATCTGTTCCCATGATAATCAAATGAGAAAAACATGTTCCTACCTTCAAAGCAGTTAGGGACTGAAATATGGCCATGTTTGCACTGAGTAGGTGCTTCATCACTGCACTTCTCTTTCTTTCTTTCACAGAAAAACCAGATGGTCTCAGCATGTCAGTATTCTAGGCTTAAGAAGGTCTTGCACTTTTATTTTCTGTCCATTGTATAACATGGTTGCTCTTTTAACTGGTATTTTACATGGTGCTAAAGGAAGAGGGAACATAAACAGCATACATAAATAATTCATTGGTCAAGAATCATATAGAAGCATGATGGGATATATAATGACTGACTACTGACTTCTAACCCAAGCCACAAGAAGTGCAAAACTCTTGCCCTTTTTTCACCAGTCTTCAAAAGACTTGCCCAGTGAAGGGAAGGTGACTGGCACTTGCTTCCTGAGCATGAGTGGGAGGGAAAAAGAAGCAGGGAGTCCAGACAGAGCAGCTGTCCATCACTTCGACCAAAATGGAGGAAGGAGTTGAAATCTGGAGAAGCATTTTTTATGTGGGCTTCTTTTCTATCTGCTTTATGTACTGGAGGCGAGCAGCTAAAGACTGCAGTGTGAAAAAGTCCTTTGTATTCTGATTCCAAAGTTGATAGAGCCCTGACCACCTGGGGGCAAAGAACTCCTACTAGGAAATGGTTAGGCGACAAATCAGAGGCAACTTGCCCAGTCTTACTTTAAGCCAGCCTTCTCCAGTGTAATACTCTCAAGATACGTTGCCAATTCAATTCCAGAATTCCCAGCCCCCAATACTATATTCATAGGACTCACGTTTGCATTTACAGTAGGTAATGCACTCCATCTCCCATTAGCCTGACAGATAGCTGTTTTATTTCCCAACAGTGTAAAAGGAAACAGACATTCAAATCTGATCATATCTTGGAAAAATAATGTATTTCCAGGCTTAATTTTACGGTAAGAGAGAATTCCAGATGCAGAAATTGGTGGAGAATAAGTCACAGCTAGAAGAATAAAGCAAATATATTTAACATGATGCCCTCCCAAATGCTAAACATCATGCATACACTTTTGCCCTATGGAATTCATTACATAGTTGCATCTAAGCGTGTTCATTAAATTTGTAAAATGCTCATAACTGATTTCTGCAATTATCTGCATCCCCAAACTGGGGATTCAAGTGAATTTGTAGTCAGTGGAATTGTGATCAGTTATTAAGAAAATACCAAGTAGCACACAATGTACTTTTTTAAAGAGTTTCTTGAGCAAAGAATATGTAAACCAAATCTGTAAAGTATCTTTAAACTCTATTACAATCCCCCATTTCATATTTGTATTCATCCCCTAAGTCATATTTAGGGTACTGAAATCCATGAAATGTTTCTCATTGATTATGTAAATAACATTTACATAGGTAGCTATTGGACTTCCGGTTGAGAGCCATGGTGAGCTAAACATCCCTTTTTGCGGCAGGATGACATTACAGCGGAGGATTCCGGCCACCGAAATGCTCTCTGGATTAAGGAGAGATCTTTGAGATAACCCACATGACTCCACATAGCTGCTCCTCATGAGTCAACCGCAGGAATAGTCATTTCACGGTTTGCCTATGGGTTGAGCGGCTGGGAGTCAAGGGAGGAACCATCTTTGCTCACTGTCGTTAACACAGCTTTTTAAAAGGACATTAAGCTCGACTGAGCTTCACTTCTTAATCACTTTGGATTTATTTATTTTTCCTGCTGCTTTAAAAGGATTAAGACCCTTCGGAATGACAAGTTATATTGTATTGACTAGGTGAGTTGCCTTCTCCTTAGCGAAAGAATTTTCAAATGTGATTTTTATAACCTTTTGAAAAATATTACTTTTTGGATTAAATAGCAAAAGGGTGCTCAGAATATGGAAGTTTAACAATGGATTAAGGGCTCAGATGGGCTTGGAATTATAATTTTAAATGTCCACAAGGAGCTTTGAATTAACTAGAATAAATTTTCCCTTGGGAAAATTAGCAATTGTTTTGAGTTTTTTCATGATAAGGGGACTTTGAGGGTTGGACACTAGGGAGCTAGAGGATAAAGAAAATGGAACAGAAATCTATAATACAAACTTGGGAATATTTGTCTACCAAGCTTCTTGACAAAATAGATGAATTTCTTAACAAGATTGACAGAGCATGTTGTAATGAAATTACAAAAGAAGAACAAGTTGCAACAGCTGATTTTGAAATTGCTTTGAAGGGTGACTTAGATGTAACAAGTGATGAGAAAGATATGGAGAAAGACATGGGCACACAAATGGAACCAATGGATAACTTATTCCAAAAAAGGAGATATAGAAATATTGAGCCAGGAAACTGACTTGGATATATTTTTTTTACTGGATATACAAAAGGGCTCTGTTAAGGTTCTGAAGGACTTTGTTAGAAGAGACAAACAAAAGGACAGACTTTACTTACTGGATATACAAAAGAAATCTGCTGAAGTTCTGAAAGATTTTGTGGCTTGAAACACAGATGAACAGAAAACTAACTCTGGGATTCTTTTTGAAGGGGTTAAAAGATATTTTTAAAACTCAGGGAAGGAATACAATGTTGGCTTATTTCACCAGGGCTAAAGAATAAAAATAGTTACATCTGGTTACCCTTAACTGGACTTTTGCTGATAAAGAACAACTGACAAAGTATGTGGATATTGTTTGTTTAATTCAATAGATGAGATGGGGTGAAGAGAGATTATGTTGTATTTAGAGATAGAGATAAGCTATTAAGGTTGTCTTTACTTGCTGGGATGAAGAGGGAAGTTACTTCTTTCTTTTTTCTTTTCCTTCTCCTATTTTTTTTTCTTTTTCACACTTTTTTCTTTTCT